GCGTACCATAGCTTGTCAGCACTCACACGTATAACGTGTTGAGCCGGTTAGCCGATATCGGCAATGACCGCAAGGCTCTGAAAGCTATGGTACGTATACCATGAAAAGCTGAGTTGGAATGAAATGGTGCCCCGGTAGCGTAACTGGTAGCGCACTTGCCCGGAAAGCGAGAGGTGCGGGTTCTAGTCCCGCCTGGGGCGAAAGTTTTGTTCACAACCCAGCATTCTTGTGAAACATTCGCAAGGCGAACTGCGGCCAAAAACAGCAGTTAACAAACAAAAACAAGTACTCGTAGTTCCACTTTTGGGTATATATGAAATCGCGCCCGAACATGTAAAACACCTAAAACGTTAATTGATCAAAGATCTGTTTGGTGTACTACCATTTTCACTTTTGAACCTTCAAGTTAAAGGAAGCGATCACGCTGGCTTCCACGCTGGATTTGCTACCCTCGCGTTATCAATCGATAAGGTGTGAGGCAGTAATTGTTGGACGAGTGTAAGCCCATGGAAGATATGATACGATGAGATAAGAAGGTGCGGCTGCTTGATAAGAGGTGCACTCCAGAATGAAAACGGGACGATAACGATAACGGTATCATCTAGCACGCTCTTATCGCACCCCTTTCCACATCGATAAGTCTTGGTTTTTGCTGAACGGAAGTGGATTTCGGCGCCTTATCACTCCGTTGATAAGGCGCCACTGCCACTGAAACTTCACGTGTTCTAACATTGGGCAGGACCCCTATCCACTCCAATACACAGCTTTCCTTATCGTCCCTATGAGAATTATCGTGACCACTTCCTTTAAGGAGTTTGAGGTTTTGGTAGGGTTGTGTGTGTTAGAAACGCCAACACCAGCAGCGGCTGCCGCGTCGCTGGACATCTTTGAATGAGCCCAGAGCTCATGTACACGAGAAGCTTCTGCTCAGTTGTTGGTATGGTTCACAAAAGGTGCTCTCGTAGATTCGCTCCTCCGATCCACAGTAGTCGCTCAGGTGATCGCTTCGCAACTTCGGGAGATGGCCGACGCTATAGCCAAAAACGCCCTGGTGATATTGTTTACTTTTAACCAAGTGAACAATATCACCAGGGCATGAAGCCTGTCCGCCCTGGTGCAAAGATGTTTCGCCAGAACATATCGAACTTTTATAGAAGCGCTACCACGGTTTATTCACCCCACCTGGCCTCACCAGACCACTAACTATTTGGTGCTCTCGAGGATCCCGTGTCGGTTTTTTTGCTGTTGCCCCTGGGTTTAAGGTTGTGAAGGCATTTGAAAGTCCATTTCTTCTTGCTGTGACCTGCTGAAGCCAGCCATTCGCATCCCTGTCGTGTAGTGATGTAAGCCTAAGCCTACATAAGAGTTCTGGTTCCACTTAGACTGCACGACTGACGGCTGAAATCGTCGTTATCCTCCTTGTGACCCATGGCAAGCTCGCGCTTCATTCCGTCGATCTGTGGATGATATGCAGAGCGGTCAAACTCAAATTGGACAACTTATTTTTTTTTACAAATTCATGTTGTGTTCCAGCGCTTCCCTCTCCCCTTCACCCAGTGACGATATCGAAACGACTTACGCCGAGGGCCCTCGTGATTGCGACCCTCTCCCCACGCCATGAGGAAAATGCGACCCCCTCGTTCAAATACTCGAACGGACTGGTTACCCTGCACGGGAGGACGAAGCCATATGAGCTAAGCGGAGCTACACTCGCTGAGGATCGGGTTCTGCTGAAATGGATGGTACCGAGGACGAAAGCTTTTATGTCAAAACGGCGCGACCCCGCGAATAATTGGGTTGTGGTGAGCTAGGTTGGTGGATGAGAAAAAGGAAGCCCCTTCGCGATGGGCGAGCCTTCCCGTTGGGCCTGCCCATCGCAAAGCGTGCCTCAACTTGATGTCAGTCACTACAAAGGCTTGGATAGCGATAAGCGAAGGAGTGAGGTTCAATGCCTTATTCATTGTGGGATTTTAAAGTCCATCTGAGTGGGGGTTGGGGGAGGGAGGAACTGCACAGTCGCAGGGTCCGCTGATTTGATTCTCGGTGTCCTTTTTGTTACCCTGTCTCCCTTATCATATCGTGTCATTCGTTTACCTCTATATCGGCATGCATGTATAACAGGTCATCAGGTGACAGTTGATCACAGTTACTGCCTGACGACATGTATGTTTACAAGGGAAAAAGCGCGGCGGCAAATATACATAAGTAGGCTTGAGCCATGAAAAGAGAGATGGCTTCAATTACCCTAATTTCCGGTAGAGAGGCCTGCGCCAATGTCGTAAAAAACCTCCGCTGGTGCAGTGCACTTGCGTACATCTAGAGTCAACCGTAACATGCCCATAGGGGTAATTCGATATGCTGATCACGAAAACGACATTCGTTTTTAGCGGTGGCGGCATCTGGCGCCAGTTGGCGCCACCTTGTCACGACCCTTGTTTTCGCCAAAATCGGTGTAAACTT